ATTGTAATCTCTGCCGTAGCTGAGCTAGTAACCTGCATACGGAACCCTCTCCCTGCTAATCCCTGGAATCACCCCATCCACTGGGAGAGGGGCAGTGGAGATTCCTCTGGCCAGCCTGCTCCTCCGTTGCGGACATGTAAAGCAGTTACCTGGAAAACGAATGCTCCTTTGGACTCTTCTTTATATTCCATCCCTTCCCGAACCATCTGTGAACTCATCAAGTCTGGACTTTTTCTTTTCCCTGTTAAAATAAATTTGACTGTTATTACAATTACAGCTTGACCTTTATTACAAAAAGACAAAAGAAACAAAACATGGCCAGTATGAGAAAATGCATACTGCTTGCAGATGCAAAGGTGGACATGCTATCTAAGCAAAACCAGTGTAGAATTCTTCCTACAAGTCTTAGGAAAAGTTTTAGGATGACATTTGTCTTCTTTTAGTTTTGCATGTTTACCACCTGCACCCAGAAAGTCTGTTGGAGAAAACACTCTGTCATTTCTGCTGATGTCAGATGCACTCAAGTGTAACTGCCGTCCCACAGGCCATTGAAACACAGACATGAAAACCAGCCCAACTTCATTGAGCCAAACCCCCACTCCTCTTTAAGTCTCATTGTTCTCTGTCAAGCTGCTCCCTAGATAAGGGAGGCCAAAGGCACCCTGCTTGTGTCAGAAATGGCAGCGGGACCAGGGGAGCGACGGTCCCCCTCTCTTGGCTCTGGTGAGGCCGCTCCTCAAATACCGTGTTCAGTTTTGGGCCTCTCGCTACCAGACAGACCCTGAGGGGCTGGAGCGCATCAGGAGAAGAGCAAGGAAGGTGGTGAAGGGTCTAGAGAACAAGTCCTGTGAGGAGCAGCTGAGGGAACTGGGGGCGTTTAGCCTGGAGAGAAGGAGGCTGCGGGGAGGCCTCATAGCCCTCTACAGCTACCCAAAAGGAGGTTGTGGCAAGGTGGGCGTTGGTGTCTTTTCCCAAGTAACAAGAGATAGGAGAAGCAGCAGCCTCCGGTTGCACCAGGGGAGGTTTAGATCAGCTACTGGGGAACATTTTTCCACTGGAAGGGTTGTCAGACATTGGAACAGGCTGCCCAAGCTACCATCCACGGGTAGATGTGGCGCTGAGCGACATGGTTTAGTGGTGGACTTGGCAGTGTTGGGTTATCGGTTGGACTCGATGATCTTAATGGGTTTTTTCCAAACTCGGTGACTCTACGATTCTCCAAAGGAGGTGCTTGTGCCATCGGGATGGCATTTGAATGAGCCATTGGAACTGCTGCTGGTCCTCAAGCTGGTGACGTGTCTGTAGGAGCTGGGTGATATCCTGGAGGAGGGAGAGTGCACCCAGCAGACGGAGCTGCCCAGGTGGAAACTGAGGTTGTGGTGGTACCCCCGGAGGAAGAGGACGTGCAGGGGGGCGTGGAGGATACAAGGGAGGTGGAGGCACCGGCACAGAGAGCGGTGTTGGTGCTGGTAGTGCTGGGCCCTGCGTCCTCTGGGTACGTTGACTGCGTGGGCATCCTTGATTTGAGCTTCTAAAGAAACCCCAGAACACGAGTCACTGTTTGTTACACCCTGCCCTGATTTTAAAGAGGAAGGCAAATGGAGGAGGAGCGTGGTGGCGAGCACTTCTTGATCTCAGCTTCAGCATTTTTCTCCCGCTTTTTGTTCATTTGAGACTACGCTCATTTCTGGGTCCTCATACTTGCCTTCCTCACCCCCAACAAATCCCTCAGTCTCCCCTACTCATAGTCAGTTTGGCAGCTGTGGCTGGAGGCTGCCCGTGCTAAAAGTGACATGTGCCAGGTGCTCCTCTGACACACCTTGACACGCTCAATACTTCACACTTCTGTTCTCAAAGCACTGCACGGACATTAACTTATCTTCTCTCAACCTTCTTTTAACATCTTCCACACATGCTTCCTAGGTTGTTGCCTCATGATGATGTTTTTGACCCGTTCCTGGCCAATTCAAATAAAGCCATTTAATAATTAATTACCACATGTATTCTCCACAAAAATCTGTGCCTACTTATTCCCTTATAAATCAGCTTTTGTGTCCGTTCTGTGTTATGGCGTCGTTTAACAGGTTACAAGCAGCAGTATATTGAATTTCTGTAGCCTACTTACACTTCCCAGTCTGGTCTGCCACTTGCAGAGCGAATTTTGCCGGCTCTCACTGGATGACCTTCAGGCATGGGGAGAGAAAAAAAATCCCTTTCAGTTTACCTGAAGATATTTTTTTAAGAGCAATTTGTAAGTTAAGGTTACTTACCAGTTGTGGGTATTGATCGTCTTTGGAGGCCCAGAAGACTTGGTAATGCTCTCTGACCCAGTCCAGGATCCTGATAGCCCTTGTGAATTGGTGCAAACAGTTGGAAAATAAGCTCTATCAAAACACAAGAATCACTGCATATGGTGAGAGAAAACCTACCTTCTCTTCCCACAAACCGCGGACCGACAGGTGGGAAGGTTGAGGACGTTCCGTGGCAGGCACCCGTGCAGCAGGAAGGGTCAGAGCCACGGGTGCTGGTGGAGGTGCTAGTGGCTGCTGCTGCTGCCTCTGGATAATCTGTGCATAACCAGTGCCATTTTTGAAGTTGTTCACAGCCTAGAGGCAGAAAAACATTTACAAAAAGGTAACATGAACCTTCAGCAGCTTGATGAACAGAAGTCTCCACAGAGTAAAATTACTGGTGTATTCCCATATATACTGTCCTTCCTAAAATAAACCAACATACAGATATCTTCAGATTAGATAGAAGGAAGAAATTCTTCCCTGTGAGGGTGGTGAGGCCCTGGCACAGGTTGCCCAGAGCAGCTGTGGCTGCCCCCTCCCTGGCAGGGTTCAAGGCCAGGTTGGACGGGGCTTTGGGCAGCCTGGGCTAGTGGAAGGGGTCCTTGCCTGCGGCAGGTAGGTGGGACTGGATGGGCTTTAAGGTCCCTTCCAAGCCAAACCCTTCTGTGATATATGAACGCATCCCACTACACACTGGGGTTAAGGATTGGTAACTCAGACTATCTGTATGGAAAGCTCTCCAGTGTTAACACTCAATTTGAAACTGAGTCAATCCTGTTAAACACAAGTGTGAGCTGAATTTGCCAGACTGTCTCTCAAGAGTTGTCAGCTTCTGTAACAGCAGGTAAAGTATTTGCAAAGTAAATTTAGCCTTATTCCATTTAGCCTTGTTTAAGGAGATGTAAATTAATATTTTCTTCCCTTCCAGCTAATTGACTGACTAGACTTTTCTTACAAACAGTTTATCTAAAAGTCACCGCGTTACCTGGCGTAGGAACTTGTTGGCAACTAAAGTATCAGGAGAAACATCTGCCTGATGACATGCTGGGCACGTATGTTCCTCAGAGTCCAGTAATGCTGTTCTAACACCTGGGTATAATCAGAATCATCACATCAGGTTTTAGCTAAACTAAGGAAATTTTGGGGGTTCTATTCAGTTATAAAAGCCTGTAGATGGTTAATGGGTGAATATGGTTCTGAACTGAGAGCATAAATTTGAGAACTGAGAGCATGAAATCTTCAGCAGTGTAAAAAATTTCTCGTATGCAGGAAATAGCTGCCCAGCTGTGATATTTCACTACTGTAACATTTGAAGATGTAGAGTAGGCTGTGTCTTGATGTTTTGACTAGTCTGTTCTCCACTGTCCAGCAGAGCGAGAAGTCACCAACCTCAAGGTTAATGAATAAGACACATCTCCAAAAACCATTAGTAGGTTCAAGTTCTGATAGTTTTAACCAGCTCTCCTGTGGAGAAGAAAGTGGATTAAATGCCTAACGAGCCATTTGCTGCAGACTACAGTAAGTCACCAGCGCTGCCTCTATAGTTTTGTATGAGAGAAATGACTGTGCACAAACTAAATGCATTTGATAACTAATACTGTAATCAGCTGCACCATTACGCACTCTTCTCGTGCTCATCCTTCCACATGTAAAGAGGGTTTAACTAGATGCATAGAAAGGGAAAAACGCCTTCTGCCTTAGTTTTTTCCTTACTACAAGAAGAGTCCTTTCCTATTTGGGGTATACATAAGTAGTAAACAGAGCTGGTAAGAAAGGAACATTACAATCTTTCTGCTTCCAGAAGATCAGGTGTGATGTTTTGAATTAACAAACATGGGAGTAACACTTACATTCATCACAGTAACTGTTTCCGCAGCAGGGAATAATAACTGCATCCGCCATGATTTCTTTACAAATGAAACATAACAGCTCTTCTGGAACACGATTGTCTAAGGAGAAGAGGGAGGAAGAGGATGGCTCCTCAGGTAAAAAGGGATGCTTCTCCTTCTTTCCTCTGGCATAAGCTTCCCTGGAGGGGGATGGGGAAGGAAAAAGAAAAAAGTTACAGATGGGTAAAGGAGAACTTTCCCAAGCTTTTCATTTTGTCCAATGAAGACAGTAGGTGGCATTCTCACTCCAAATTAGACTTCAAAAATGCAGGCATTTAGTTTAAACTACTTTTCTATAGCCAGAGCACTAGAAAAGAGAGGAGGGAACAATTTTCCTTCTGTAGAACTCTTCCCTTCATTGGATCAACTAAGAAATTATCTCAGACTAGAGAAATAATTTTCTGACAGCTAGAGACCAGGTGAAATGAATCCCACCTCTCCTTTGCCAGAGGGTGAATGTAAATCGCAGGCTCAGGATAAAGTCAGGCTCCAGCTAATCATGTTTTATAAATGGAGAAAATCTATGTTACAGCTTCTGCAAAAGGAGATCCATGACAGAAAAACAGAGGTGCTCCCAAGTGCATTTTAAAACAGCCACTCTTGCCAGCACACAATAGTGTTTTCTTAGTTTACAGCAACAGGAAAACATACCTCTGCTTCACACATGGGATTTGATAAACGGCAGAGGGAGAGGGAATCTCAGTCCAACAGCTGTTTGTTAAATTCTGCAAGAAGCCTTACAAAGATAAAACAGGAGCAGAAGGAGCTTTCAAAAAGAATGATGCCACCATAAACACGACGGAGATGTTTTGCAGAAATAGGCATTCTTAGCATACCAAAAGCTTAACCAGCATTCAGGGGCATAAACAGCAGGACTGCTCCATTTTAGTATTAGAAATCGTCACCAATTTTAAGGTTAAGATACAACAACAGTGCTTCTTCCCCCATAATTACAGATGTTGGCCAGCTTGGTGGCATTGCCACTTGGACATTGACACTTGGCTTCTCTACTTCACTTTTTGGTCAGACCAGCTAATTCCATACTCACGCATTAATAATTGGTATGGCATATCTTCCAGTCGGTGTCAGCATTGCGCCCTTCGTATTGGGATCTTCCACCTCCACCATGAAACTCCTGGGAATTCCCGTGCTCTTTCTAAGTCTGCGAACAGACTGAAAATTACTGTCCTGTTAAGAAAAGAAATGCAGACATATCTCAAGACCCACACTTAAAATGGCATTTCAACCACTATTTTAAGCAGCAAAATCTTTCAATCCTCTCCTTTTAGCTAGCCTAAGGGCTGCTTGACTGAAATACTCTTTTCCCCAAATGAATATAGCCAGCATGCTCCAAAGGCCCGAGCAGTGTTCTGAACTCAGTTGATATTCTTTGGCTTAACTTCAGGGTCCTGAAATATCCCCCAGCTCACCATCCTCTCAGAGGAGAGGCACAAACCCCCACCTCCTCCAAAGGGCAGTTCAGAGGGAGAGCTTAATGCAGGGCTCTGGATTGGCCACTGGGGAAACCGATATTCCCCATCTACACACAAAGGTTGAATTCAGAGCTGATGCCCGTGTGTTCAGTGAGTAACCTTAAATGGCATGAATACTCAGCCAGAGACTTGTGTAATTATAACACGCAAATATTCAATAGTTGGGGCCAAGAGAAATGTCATTTTTTCCTACAAAATACTAAAAAATGCAAACTGTCATTAAAAAGAGTTAAGACAAAAAAAAAAACCTGCAGTAACATTGAAATATATAAAAATATGCATTAAAGTTCACAGAGAAAGATCTATGGACAGTTGTAATGTCTATGACCTCGAAGAAAGAAAATTTCCCATTGAAATCTCCAGCTTTCCCTCTGTATTTCAGCCCAAGAGAAACAATTCCTCATAGGGGGTTCATGTAATTGCTGTGTAACTGCCAAGGTAAAACAATTAAAAACCAAGTGTCACCAGAAGTCCCCCACAATCTTACCCCATTTGTTGGACAGTTCTTTATATAGTGGCCAGGTTTTCCACAGCGAAAGCAAATATAGGATGGTGGAGGTGTAGCCAAGGGTTTCTTCGCGTAACTAAAAGGGTTTGGGGAAAAAAAGAAAATGGTATGCATGCATCTCTCTTGTTCCAACAACTATCTCTACAATGTTTCCACAGTCTTCAAAGAACAGACAGGACTTTGCCAACACTTACTGGACTGGATCATACTGATGGCCAGACTGGATCATCATGGCTCGTATTTTATCTTCTTCAGAAGCATTGGCTTCAGCCAGACTGCCAGTCTGTTTAACAGGTAATTATTGGACACGCACATTAGAAGCACATTTAAGCTCCCCCGCCAAAGACTCACCCAACCCTGTAAAAAGCAGCCCGGCAGTAGATGGGGTTGCACAAAAGCAACTGCTTGTGTGAGCCAGAGCTGTCCCAGAGGTGTTCTGGGGAGCCCTTACACCATCACACGGTGTCTCTGGGCCTGTGAACCTGCTTGGAAGGAGCATTTTTGGGCACTCATACCCTGAGGCTCTGTTTGTACCTTACAGAAAGACTTGTGTAACCAGTCCAAATGTCTTCCAAGTGGACTGAAGCTATGTGTAGACAGAATTACATTATCTACTAGTTTTAAACGGATCCTTGAGCTCCAGAGTATTGAAAGTAGAAAATCTCCACTGTACATTCAATTGAGAGGGATGTATGCAAGTATCAGTGTTTATATTTTGCAGCATTAAAAGGACATACAACTTAAGAGTTGGGGAAGTTGCTTTTGCTTGCTGAAATTCAGCTTCAGACACAGAAGCATTAAGAGGAATAAAGATTTTTACAACTCCTCAGCAAGACAGAAGATTCTTTTCAGTAGAAATTTGCCCATCATGCGCTGTAGACAGCCCAAACTGCATGTCCGCTGCCTACTCAGTTCTTCACGTTAAGTGATTTAACTTCGGTCAGCACAACCTGCAGGCTTTTCCCTGTTTGCTCTGTTCTAACACAAAAATTGTCAGAACCCTACACAGAACTAGACCTTCAAATTATCGAGGCCAGATGATTTTTTGCAAGTAGCATTTGTTCCAGTGTTCTCATTGCACACTAGTCCAGATACCAGCAAGCTTTAAGGGAGGGATGTAAAGGATACGGACTTCCAAGCACCCGTCATTGAGACCAACCCCCCATGGCTTTGATTTTATATGCATTCATTCGCAAAAGCAACCCACTAGTTTCAACAGTTTCTTAAATGGTCGTTTCACAGACACAACAGCAACATAATCCTGATCGACAGCTATGAAACCCCTTCCATCAACATTTACAGAAAACTGTACAGATACTTGATGAATTTGTTTAACCCCGGACAGTTTACAACACGTCCAAACCCCACAAAGCATCACTAGGCACAGACCACAATTCAAATATGGAATTTTGTACAAGGTAATAATAAAACAGAAAACTTGTCAACACGCTGCCTCCACACCAAGCCCGCCTGCACTAAGGAGGTTGGAGTATAACAGTTTGGAGCTGCTTTACATTACATTCCTGCCTTTCTCTGAAATACGTACATTTTCTCAAAAGCTTAAACGTGTCCAGCACTTGGCCAGCTTCTCACATTTTAAAATCAAACTTCACATGAGTTTACAGAACAAAGGATGTGTTTAGGGACAGCACTAACGGAGACCAGTTTCTTCTGTTGACTACTTTCCATAGCAACCATTGGGTTTTTTTCCCCAAACATACACAATTTAATTCTGCAGTGGGAGAGGGAAGAAGACAGTGGGAAGAGATCTCTCTTTCTTGGAAAGTAACGCCAGCCTTTATTTTCAGAAGACAGAACTAGCTCCTCTGCATTAGGCCACGCCTCCTCTATTCTTTAGGACGAGTAATTTAATTGGCTTGTACTACGCCTTTTCACAAAGGGCAGCCACTAGTGCTTTCCCAGACAAAGTCACACATTGTTGAGAAGAAAACACAAGCAGTTCCATAGCAAACCATGTCATTACAACAGCTTCAGAAGGTCACCTCTGCTAATACACTGCACTCACACATTGGTATATTCCCGCAAACAATTAGGCACATTTACACAATTTACACAGTCTGCATTCAAAAAAATTAGGTTGTGTTGTCCACTCTCCATAGACTACAAGTTATGAAACTGTGCAGCTTTCAGAGAGTGGATCTATAACTGCAGTGACTAGAAACCAACAGTAGCCACGCAATTGTCCGTGTTACAGAAACGTTTCTATTTTGGCTGTTGCAAGCCCCCCCTGAAATGTCCATGACTTGCAGCCAGTTAAATTATTCTGCGAATATTATGTCAGTCTCCAACACAAAATTAATAAAAGGTCTGAGAAACAGTAAACAGCTCCTGAAGTGCTGCTTCTTTGTGTCTTGAAGATGAGCAATAATGCAACATTACATTGAGGGACTCCCCTGCTATCTTCCCAGACTGGGAACTACTCTTTACGGGACACTATGGAAATATATACACATCTTGAAGTTAAAACCAATACTGTAAATGATTAAAAATTAAGTTTTGTTCACATTATAACAGTTATCCAGTTATACACCACCGTACAAGATTTAAACATATGAAGCAAGTGGGATTTTTTGTTGTTGTTGGTGGGTTTTTTTAAGCCTTTGACAAGAATATACACATACCTTAATGAGCTGGGCCAGAGGAGTGGGTGCAGAAGAGTCCTCAATCTGTTCACAAAAAATTAAACGCATATTCAAGTTGTCCAATCAAAACATAGCAAAAGTTAACCTCTACTGTAGTCTGAAAGTCTGCACTATATCCTCTGAGTGTCATGGAAAGAGTCATTTCCAACCGAATGTAATTGTATTGGTTCAAAACAAAGTCCAAAGCTATGACAGCTGCAGAGGGCCTACGTGGTTCATGAGAAGCAGCTAAACTCAGTGGGCTGGGTTTTAGATATTTGCATTTGCAGACAAACTATGAAACTAAGCCGTTTTATTGGATAAAGTGGAAAGATCAAATGCAGAATTTTGGAATACCAATTTGGGTACCAACAACATTTAAACTCACAGTAATCTGACAGAGACCTTCATGTACTCAGTGGGGGACAAACAACATCACTTCAGTCATACAGCTTTAGGAATAAATACTCAAGTATTTCAGGACACGGGAAGGAATCTTAGCTACACAGAACTGTCCTCAAAACCTAGGGGATATGTTGATTTTGGGATTTCTTGGAACCACCAAGTCAAAAGTAAGAAAAAGTACCAAGTGGCACAACAACTGTTTCTCAGTGCATTTTGATAACATCTTCCAAAACTGTTAGGCAAAGAAAGTACTTAAAAACAAAAGCTAAGTGATACAATGCAAAAATGGCAAAAAAATACACTCCAAACAATTTTAATTGCAAGAAACAACGAGCACACAACAGTCTCTACAAACATACTAGTTCTAGATAGACGGATGTAGAACAGAGCACCAACTGAACTGTGCAAACCTTGAAACCTACATGATCTAGACACTATTCTACATTATCTGTACAACACAAAGTCACCCAGGAAATATTCCAGCATATTCAATATGAAACACAATGCCTCACTTGGCACAAATACCAATATTCACATTAGAACTGTGCAAATGATGGCATTACTCAGTGTTCACTGTGCTGTGAATCAAATATATGGTCTCCACAACATACATTATGTCTCACTGAAAAACTTCATGTTTGGCAGATTAATATGAGGCTACATGGTTTAAAACTAAGTGCAATGTGTAGGAAAAAAGTGTGAGATTGTGTTTTTACGTACTGCTTTGGATGTTCCACTTGCTGGCTCAGTTCGAGTTCTAGAAGAAGAAATAAAGGGGATGAGAACTCAGAACAAAGCACTTGCACCCAGCCAAAATCAGTGAAAGCAGATTCTAAAACCTAAACTTCAAGACATTATGTTCTGATAGTCTGGTGAATGTGGAAATGTATTTGTACACATAAACCAAATCCCAAATCCCATTTCTGGTTTGTCAGCAATTACTGTAAGACTTACAGCTCTAGAACACAACAGTGCCAGAGGAAGTCCTTTGACATTTTGTCTCTGCTGTGTAAGTATCAAAACGATGAAGTCTGTGCTACAGCTTTGTGCTCTTAAATAATCAACCATCAAATTAGCGACTGTTGCCCTTTCCTCTAGAGCCAGTATGCAAAAAAGCCAGATTGGAGGCATAAGAATATCTGCCATATCCCACCCCGCCTCCCCCAAATGCAAGACACAGTCAAACACTGACAAACAGACTCTTCTGAGATGGGAACATGCGTATCTGTCTTTACTATAAAAACAAGAGAAAGAAGATAGATGCAAGCTGAGTGCCTCTCTAAACCAATCTCCATAGAAAAGGCTAAGAGACCGTAACCCCTCACAGAGACTGCAATGCTTTACGGGTACTTACAGAACTTGTGTTTTGCTGGTAGTTTTACCTCCTCTAACAGGGACTCTTCTAACAATTACTGAGGAGTTCTTAGGAATCAGAGCATTGTCATCTGTGTATTCTGAAAACAACACCAATACAGAAGAAAACATGAGTCAGTTTGTAAGAATATTAATATGTAATTACATAGCACTTGAGAGAATCCCGTCACAGACAGGAAAGCAAAATTTTATATCAAACACCAGCAGCAAAACCTTTTCCATTCTTTTCAAACAGTTTGGATGCCAGCAGCAAAATGATCTCAGAGGTCACTAAAGGAGAGTGTGCTCATGCATGAGGTTCTTTCCTGACCTGCCCTAAGTTGCTTTTGCTTCTGCTGGGCTACAAACCCAGGAGATCTTTGGAGAGAAACAAACCACAGCAAAGTCTCACTCGCATAAACCAGATTCTAAATTCTGACCAGCTTGCCCTGCAACAAAGCAGGTACTTGGCTAAAGCACGAAAACTCTGCCCCATTGCTTTCCAAGCTGTTCACTCAAAACGATTCCCCCGTGCTGCGAGTGCTGGGGACTGACAGAACACAGAAGAGAGCTGCCATCTCTCTGTTTCTTGGAGCTTCATCCATCGACAGCCACACGGACAGCTGCTCAGTGCTGTACCTTCACATGGAAATGGGACTGGCAGGGCTAGAGTTTGGATCACAGAAACCAGAGGGGGGTTTTGAGCTTGCTTTCACAGGTAGGGCAGAATGGGCTCCAACTAAAGGGGTGTCTCCTCTCTTAAGCTAGTCATCTAGTTTGAATAAGCCAAACGGACGTGAATTCTTTCAATTCACTTTTTGCAGGGCAGAGAGACTCAAATGAAATCAATTACAAGCCTTCTGAAAAGCCTTTTGAAACCAATGTGTGACTGAGGGTCTCCGTGATTTGCCACGGCTTACACCGTGTTAATCTTTTAAAGAGGAGGAGCTACCCGAGACAGTTGGACTGAGTAGGCTTCAAATGTAAAGACCTCTCCATGAGTAAGCTTCAAACGTAAAGACGTCTCCATGAGAAGGGTTTATATATTGTATTTACACAAGCTGGATAGGACTAAATGTTTTAAAGCGCCATCAGCAGCCATTCCCTGTAATCTGCCTACAGTCCTAACTACTAAAAACCCTTACCTCTGGAGGCCAAATCAGAACAATGGCCCAAAAGCCAAAGTTGCTGTGAAAGTACTACTAATGACAGAACCCGAAGCTTTTACAGAAGTCATACCCTGAAACCAATGCCTAGAGCTCTGCTCAAATGGGGAATCTCGCCATCATGCAGCCACCTGTCAAGACAGGCCTGCGCCGGGACTTTCTGATGTCGGAGGAGCTCAAACAGCACCGAGGCTGACAAGCAACGGGGCTGTAATGCCAGTGGCAGCTCTGGAAGCCCAAAGCAGCTGTTTCCACCTGCTGAATGGTGTCATACAGAGTGTTCTTTCTGGTCCAGATCACAAACCACTGGACTGAGATTTCAGAGGCGCAGGATAAGCAACAGTGGCTTCAAAAAAGGCAGGAGTTTGCTAGGCCTGTGCCCCGCTGAGGGTTGTGGTAGGTCTGCAGAAGATTGCAGGTGGCAGCACCTCTCCGCGAGGGAGGCTGCATATATGAGGACAGCAACCAGTGCGCTTCTTCGCCAGTTCTGCAAGCCTGCAGAGGTCAGCTGGAACATGCACAACAGGTGTATGAGGCAAAAAGGGGAATGGGTCCTCTTTTTGTATTTTGTGACAATTCTTTGACCATTAGAAGAGAACCATTGACATCTGCCTTCTGAACAGACTGTCTTTGCATGCAGATATATATATAGAGAGAGATGCATGCTTGTTTTCCATCCACTTGTGAAGTGCACAGGGAGGAGACCTCCAGCCATCTAACAGCAGACTGATAGAAAAATGAATTCCCCTTACAAGTCAATCAGTACACATTTAAATGGATCAGCTGAAAACAGAAGAGTGACAATAGCCTGGTAAGGTAAAAGCTTTATTTGCACAGGGCAATTATCATGGCACCTATCTGTGTGGGGGACGAAGTATCCTCCCACTAGCTTGGTCACCGAGGCAGAGATTTTGTGGAAGAGGGTTTACAAAAGTGGAGTACGCTGCCGAGGTAGTTCTGTGAAGGGACCTGGCACCTGTTGGCTTTCATACATTTGATTTTCCTTCGCCTCAATTCATTGAGTTCATTTTGGTGATGAAATTGGTGTCAGTGGTGAAATCTGGTGAAGTCAAACAATGTTGACTTAAAAGTTAGCTTTTTTGTTTTTAAATAGGAAAGGACTAAATAGGAAAGGACTAAAGCTGGAGCATTATTCCTGAAGTCCTTGGAAATTTATGTTTGCTCTCTTTAACAGCTGCCAGCTTAGCCTAACAGCTCTCAGACAAAACTGGCATCTGCCAGCAGGAACCTGTTCCCCGCAGGCAGCAGCATCCCCTAGCAGAGCCTTGGCAGGCACTAGAAGCTGAGAAGCAGTGTCACTCTGCCTAGCCACGACTCCACATCTGCAGGATGAGCAGTGACATCACACTCAACAGGGCTACTTTTGACAGTTGTCCAAGCAGAGCTCCAACAGAAATGTTCAACAAAGATGGAGCCAACACCATCGTTGATTCCTACTCCCTTCTAGCACAAAGCTTGTTTTACTGCCAGTGATGGCCAGTAAGTGGCTACAGGGGGGGCTTTGGCAAGCACTACCCATTGCACATTGAGCAGGAAGTCTTCTACGCCCGGATCCCTGTCTAACAAACAGATCGGAATGGCTCCGTGAGGTCCCCACACACGCCACAGCCACCAACGGTGGCCGAAACGCACTGTCCCTTCCCACCCCACCGAATTGCTGGCACTGCTCGCCCTCCCGGTTCCCCATACGCCACTGGGACAGGCCGCGGGCTGACTCACACCACATGGGGACAAGCCCCAGAGAGCAGCGTGTGGTCCCGCAGGTCGCAGCTGCCACCAGCCGGGCAGTGCCCGAGGCCCCGCGCCCGCCACCCCCACGCACCTTCGAGCCTTTGTGGCCAGGGGGTTGGGGCGGCCGTGGTGGGAGCTGGGGCGGTACCGGCACTGGCGGCAGCTCCCCCCTGGTCGCCTGAGGAGGGACCCTCCGGCGCCTCCTGACCCGCCGGGACTCTGCTTCTGTCTTGAAGTAAGGAGGAGAGCGGGACGGAACAGCAAACCCGGCTGCCGAGGCCGGGATGGGGGTTCCAGGGGCCTTCGGCACTAAAGGCAGCGACCCCCGGGAGAGGTTTGCCCGCAGCGGCAGCGCTGCCTGGAGCACTGAGAGAGGGGAGGCAGTGGAGTGAGGTGTGACCACAGGGGCTGGAGGTTTATAGACAGGCTCACTTTGGGGTCCATGTCTCCGTGTGCCTCACTGCTCAGATCTAAACGGCTGAGGTGGAAAACGGAGTTTAAAAGTTAATATGTCACCATTAGGTTGTTGAATGTTCATTAAGCTATTGCTCCAGTGGCTAGAAGCTGTCCTACAGCTTCTACTAACCTGGCACTTGACAGGATGTTTTCCTCTCTCAGCACTTATCCCCAGACACACCCCAAAGCCCTGTTTCCAGTTTCCCAACACCCCTTCTGAAAGTGAGCCTTACACAGAATTGCAAAGCTTTTGACTTGACCGAGGTGAGTGTAATTTTTCTTAAATAATTTGCTTAATCAAGTAGGCAGTGAATGCTATAAAAATGCAGGATTAACTAGCAGTTTAAATGGTTTGTGATCTTTCTGTGCAGTACTGCATTATTCTGGTCTGCCTTGATGGTTAAAGGGCCAGAGCTCTGACGCAGGGAGTCATTAAGGTTTGGTATCCACATGCTTTACTAGAAACAGAGCTTAAGTTCCAGCTGTTCCCCTGGTTAGACTCTGTCTTGAAAACCAACCTCTGACATCGGATCCAGTTTCTTCATTCAGTACGTTAAGGTTGTTACCAAACTAGTTTGTTCAAGAGGCTTTGGCATCTTGGGAATTTTTGTTTGGTTGTTTTGTTTGTTTCTAAAAAGCAAGCCTTGCAACTTTTTTTCTTGGGGCTCTGATGAAACATGTCTGTAATAATGTTCTGGGTTTTTTTAAGTTACTTTGAGTCGCTTGGCAACTAGGGATGGAGGAGTGTTTCCTCTCTGGCAGCATAATGCTGTGCTGCTGGCCATGGAGCCTGTTTCTACTGAAATTGGGGCATTTATGTTTAGTAGTTACTGTGCCAGTAGTTTGACCAGCAATAGCTTAGGGACTACTATTGGAGAATCAGTTTAGATTTTGGTTTTCCTGAAAGCTGATTTATGTGTTTTTTGCAACCAGGTTGTCTGCATTATCAACTGACTGCTCAACTTAGCTCTCCTTCTTCTGCATCAAACCTGCATAGTGTTCATACTGAATTGTTGATTAATTCCCCTGCCCCTGCAGAAGCAATAGAAGTTTTGGAAAACCACTAATTGCTTTGCTTAGAACTGCTTCTTTTTGTCTTGGTAACAATAACTTTATGGGGTGGCTTAAGCAGCTTCTGCAGGAACAGAAGATACAAGCTGCTGAGCGGAACTCAAAAGCATGAAGACATTTCAACAAAAGCAGATTTTCTTTCCTATATTTTTAACTCCTTACTCTTCCCCTTAATCCTTGAGGTGGTTAAAAAAAATCTCAGATACCATGGTGGTATTCATCACTTAAAAACCAAACTAAAGTCAAACATGAAAAATAATTCTCAAGTGCAGTTTTCTCTCACTGTGGAAAAATCTGTATAAACCATTTTAATCTTTGTACATTTAGAATTGCCTTTCATTCAGTTGTTTATTTCAGAAAAAAAAACCACTCTAATTTGCTTTAAATTTCTCCTCAGTTTATATTCCAGGCTGAGGTTGGCCTCTGCCATTGCCTTCCATGAAGAGGCCTTGTGCAGATGCCCCCAGTGCTGGAACCCCTTAAGCCCAGCAGACAACGTGCCAGTTTATTACGTTGCTGTTGCTCAGCTTTGAAAGCAGCAGTTTGAATAACTCGGGTCACATCCTGATTTGTCAGGAGGTGTAGAACCTCCTGTTTGGTCTGCGCTGGCAGCACTAATGACAAATAATGCGTTCTGTTTGAGAGCTGGTGAAAAATA